TAAACCCTTTCCTGCTCAACTCCCATATTTGTAAAATAAAGATACTATTTCTTTCTCTGGGAAGTGCTGTAAGCTTCTTGGATGAAAAGTGTTGCCAAATTATTAGGGTGATCAGAGCTACCTAACAAACTTTTTGAAGTACTCAGTTCTTCTTCAAAAGTCTTGGCTTTTACTTCCAAGGAAATGAAGATCATGGTCATTGTTACCAGGAGATGTACAATGCAAATGGAAGGTCTTGGATGGAGTCCATATTTGTCTGTAAAAAGGGGAGCAATTACTGGCTAAAACAACTCAAGGTAAAAAGTCTCACCAAGACAGCATGGTCTAATGAAGGTATTATTGTGTAGCTCAGGTTTCAGAAGATGTATATGAATTAGCTGAAGTGGAGTGAACTGAAATCGTGCCCTGAAGGGCTCATAGTAGCAGGGTGATCAGGCCCAGAGTTGACAAACAAGCCAAGCCCCCTCACCCCTGAGCAACTATAAGACATGTTCAGTGGATGAAACATTCTCAATCTGGTGCTGCAGGTACCCATCAAAATGAATGTTGCTGAGCAATGATCGCTTAATTCTTCTGATAAGGGCTAAACCAGGAGTCATGGAGGAGTTAGCAGCTTTCCCAGACCTGTCACACTGGCTATTGTGTCAGAGAGAGCTTGAAAGGCCTGTACCTGAGACAGCATAATCAACACATAGAAGACAGTTGTGCTGGGGACAATTAGCAGTGTGTTCAGTGGACCCTGGGAAGTAGGTTGGAAAGAACGTGATAATCACGATCTTCCAGTGAACAAAGTACTTTACACCATGCCAGATTTTCTCTAGGCTACAACAGCTGGTTCCATGTCTAGATTTTTTTGTCAGATCTGGACAAGACCCAGCATTCATGAGGCTATGGATCACTAGGATTTAAATAAAAGCCTTTTCCATTAGAAGAATGGCATCAGCCAAGCATGTACTTAAACCAAGATTAGAAAGAAACCTGTATAATCCAACTGAATTCATGAGCTGCATGAAAGGGTGGTTTCCAGTGAAATTTTTGTATTTTACCCTATAGATGGTCCTCATCTATGAATCAAACCTGGGGCTTGGAAAGCAAATGCCTAAATTAACAGTTTAGTTTTGTCCTAAAAAGTGAGCAATGGAACTTCCAGTGCCTCAAGCCTCGAGGGTATTAGGACCACGAGCTTGGTTCAGCCATTACGAATCAGGCATTTGTACAATTCTGATTCTAATACCTTCCTGAGTGAGTTTGGATACTGGTCATGGTAGCATGGCTAGTGTACGTACCAGGGACTGTTTCCCACAGGCCCATTTCAGCTAATAATAAGTGCTTTTTGTCACAGTAGTCCCACCTTCATCTCTTGTGAACTAAAAAGGATTTTACACCTTTCAGAATTAAGTATACTTTTTCAGAGCCTCTTAAAAATAGCACAAAGAAAAGCAACTATAGAGAACCACTGTCCTTTCAGCACAATATAGACACCTACTAATTTAGCAGAAATGCTCTAGGTTCTGTTAATGACATTAAAATCACAGCCCACAACCAGCTTCCTATGGTATAACTTTTGCCCCTTCCAAATAGTGAATCACAGCTATAGTTTCAGTAAAGATCTTAATGAGCTGACAAAACCTCAGAAAAAGAAACACACTTAAAGGCTACTCCATTGTAGTATACTGTCATAATCTTGTACCATCAACCACTTTCATCTCTTCCTCCCTATTTTTGTAGATCCTTTCCCCTCTCTTCAAACTTTGGAGAGCAGTGCTATTTCAGGACAAGTAGTAGTGCCTGAAACATTGCTCCTATGATCATAAAGGGAGATCAGGATGAAAATCCTTCAAAATCCAAACGGCTCAGATCCAGGTCTTGAAGCAGCAGGATAGCTCTAACTCTAATAAGAAACAGAATACAAACTGCCTAGACCAAGATATCTTACTCTAATAGTCAAGGAGGATTGTTGCCACATTCATCAGTAAGCTGCAGCCAGAGCTTAATAAGAAGAGATAGCAGGGGACTATCCAGACCCATTCCTCTGCTTAAAGCCGCTCTTCATCTCCCTGATGTGGATACAATGCTTCCCCTCCCATTTTAGACTGCTTTGACCTTGGCCTTCAGCCCTTTATGGTGTCCAAGGTGATTCCAGCAGACACAAAGTCAGTGTATACCACAGGGCGGGCAATTATTTCGAGCAGAGGGCCACTTACCCAGTTTTGGCAAGTCATCAAGGGCTGCATGGGTAGCCCTGCCCCTTGACAGGTGCCCCACCCCCTGGTCACCATCTTGGGACCAGAAGTCCTGCCCCCTAACCCCTGGCTTTTGCCACTAGAAGTCCTTCCCCTTGTCCCCTGAAATTACTCCTTTTAGCAACGGGTTTTGCCTCCCCCTGACCACTGTGGCACCAAGTCCCAGCTGCTCCTCCAGTCCCAGCACAGCAGCTGGGAATCAAGTGATGCCGTAGCACAGCGAGCAGGGAGAAGCAGGAAAAAGGCTGCAGCAGGTCAGGGGACGGGGCAATGAGCAGGCACGTGGAGCGCAGCAACAGTCGCGCGGGAGCGTGGGGCCCATGCCGGTGCACTGGGGCCAGCAACACTGGGACCTAGAGTGGGGTGGCAGGAGCGCGGGGCCCAGGCTGGCAGGGCTGTATGGAGCTGGGCTGCGCTGCTCAAGGAGGGAGCCAGCCCGGCTCCATAGAGTCTTGCCAGCCCCGAAGCTCCTCCCAACCCCCGCTCTGGGCCCTGCCAGCGCTGGCCCTGGTGCACTGGCACAGGCCCTGCGCTCCTGCCCAGCTGTCGCTGAGCTCCACGCGCCTGCTCATGCCTCTTCCCCACTGCCCGCTGCAGCCTTTTTCCTGCCCCCCATGCCCGCCACACTCTGGCATCACGTGGCTCCTGGCTGCAGCACTGGGACTGCAGGAACCAACCTGACTGGCCCTGAGGACTGGGGTGATGGTCCGTTGTCCTCCCCTGTCCCGCTCCTTCTTATCTGTATTTCCCTTGGCACAGAGAGGCAGGAACAGTCCTGCTAGGCAGAGGTTTCTATCTGGGGTTTGGGGTGGGAGGGGCTGAACCAGACTTTCTGCTGTGGCTGTTTAGTTCTGCCACTAGCTCCCGCTGGCGTCCTACTGCCCCGGCTCCTGTCATCTTTACAGGCAGCCAGGGGCAGATAAATATTAATTTTCTAAATTTTTTAGGGGCCCACAGGATATATTTTGCCTGCCCTGGGTATACCATTATCACAATACAGAGAAAGGTCCTATGATGGAAAGGAGAACAGAGCTGGAGTATTCCTATATCTCAGCTAATCTAACCTCTATGAAGCCCATAATGACACAATACAGCTGGGGTCTTCAAATTACTGCAACATATATGAAGGTCCAAGAAGGCTCAGGAAGACCCAGATAAGGGAGGTACAGACACAGCTTTGCCCACCTGCTACATTTCATTACTAATTGCAGAAACCGGGTTGCATTGTGTCCTGAGCTATGGTGCATATTTGCTACCTGAAGGAAGTATTTTACAAGACCCTGTGTGTTGAAGGAAAGACAGAGGCAAATATCTAAGAATGTGAATGTATTTATGCCTCTTGCCTGTTTTTAATAAATGTTGCATTTATAATAAATGTTGCATTTATAGTGCATGATTAATTATTTTGCCAAAAATCACTTTTATGGCACCTGTAAAAGGTAAATGATTTTTCATACAGCCTCCTGAGTTCCACTCCTTCTCTCCACCCCTGTCACCATTAATTCATACTGTATGAAGATGCAACATTTGTCACTGTTTTATTATGAAGTGCAATGTCTCAAGTTATTTATGAGCTTGCTATTTATTGAAATATTTGCAGGTAGCTTTAGCACATTGACTGTAGGGTGAGAATCAACCACATTGCACAGACTGGGGGGGATCTTGTACCATTTTAACCACTTCACTGCCACTATATTCATTAAGTTCATGTCACTAATGCATGTCTCCCAAGTCGATGGTGAATCAAGCATGCTCAGTAGGCTCCCAAGCTTATTTAACCCAACCTCCTGAACAGGCATGTATCTTCCAACATTTCATTACTTTCAACCAGGTTTATGCAAAATAACAGAGGGGCCTGAAGGCTTTAATGGCAGTTTGGGTTTAACAGACATAAGCATGGACACATCACTTCCCAAAAGCTACAGGTACAACAATCCTAAGAACAAACTGCACCACAGATACCTTTCAAGCCTCTTAAATTCTTCCCCTTAGATGACTGTCTTCACTCTACATGGAATCACACATACAGTCTTGCTCAAGAAAAATCCCTGATCTGCAGTCCCATTGGTTCCCAGCTATGTGTATGATAAAGGCCCAGCTCAGCTTGCACAGTGTTAAGGCTATCCCTTCTAGATCCTGTGACAAACCTGCTCAGAAACAGCATCTTCAAAGTAAACCAGCATTTCCCATTCAACTTTCCCTTTGTCATTTCCCTAAACACCATGAAAGATTGAGTGGCGTACTTCCTCACTGCAGCTTAATGTATCTACCCATAAAGTTTAGGAATGCCCAGCATTGTCTCACCTGTGGGAAAGCTAGTCCGTGCTACTCATAGTCTCTTCTTTCTGTCAGTTTGGGTATCAGCTTTCCTAAAGACAACCCTCCTTCCCAAAAAGAATTTAGGCTTCCCTTTGCACCTAGTCTCTACTTTAAGAATAATAATCCCATGCAAACCTGCTTGGAGGCAAATCAAGGATTATTCTCCAATAAACATATTTATAATGTTTTCTGTTGGACTGTTCTCTACCACTGTTTCATTTCCTGTGGGCTTTTCCCATAGTAAGCTGCTGTATCTCCTAGCAATCAGGCAGGTTATGATAATATTAAAATAGATAACCTGAGGGTATGTGATGTTTATAATAATATACATAACCTTCGTATTCTCAACAAAGCATAACTGATGAAGATTTTCAAAGGCACAAAGGGCAGTCAGATGCCCAATTCCCTTCTGTGTGTTTAATAATAATAACATCCTACCTTATTGTTATTATTAAGTTGTAACTTATTGAAGAAGCACTAGAGAAATCCAATCAGGAAGTGATCTTCCATTGCATGTGCGGTTATCAGTACATGTGACTCAAAGACAATACCTGCCTCCAAAGAGCTTACAGCCCAAGTCTAAAGGGAAAGACAATTAAGGGATATAACAAACAGATGGGGAGAGCACAAGGTAACAATGAGACAATTAGCAATCAGTGTAATCAGCAGGGTCACAGCACAGCAGCTGCTTTGTCAAGAGTTCAGGTCTGCTACCTGCTGCTGCACATACAAGGAGACCATCTGTTGGCTCCAAGATTCCTGCTACCCAGAGAATGGTTATTTCTAGCCTGTGCTTATGGCACCTGTTGGTGTTCACCAACTGGTGTCCAACTGACACAGAGCATTAGAAACCAGCAGAGTCCCCATCTGGTAAATGGACTTCGTATTTTTTCTCCATTGAGTGTTTTATCTGATGAATTGAACAGAAATCTGCTCTGGCCACACAAGAGAGCTCTATCAGGAGACTCAAAAGGTATCTACTCTGGCTGAGCTACTAGAAGCTGTGTTGAGAGCTTCCCTCTCTCTCCATTTATTATGATTCTAAGCTTCAAATTCATTAATCCTACACCCTTGGCTTTTAGAAAATAATTCCCCACGCTGTTAATGCAGCCTCACAGTCATCTCTGATAAAAGGAAAAGGATTCAAAGCTTCATGCCATTCTCTCGTTCCATCTTCTCCCAGTCCAAGGCATCCAAAGGTTTCAAAACACATGAGTTGGTGATGCTTTCAGAGCCAAATTTTCCAAACAGCCCAGCTCCCATCAAAGCATGTAAATGAAAACTAAATTTTAAAGGGTGCTCACAAGCCAGCAGTTCCCAGTAGGATTTTATGCTCAGATTTTTCAAAGAGGTCAGCACCTGATATGCTGATCACTTATTACAATGTGTTTTCCTCCCCCATTTTGATCTGATCCCATGTAGGCATCTGATCCTAATTTTCATTGCTTAGAGCAGTGGGGCTCAACCTGTTTCTCCTGACAAGCCAGACGGGCAGTGCCCAATCTGTCCATGGGCCAGATCCGGAACCTGGTGCAGTTGTGATGGGATGCTGAGGGAGACAAGGGGCAGCCCAGCCCCAATCCAGCACAATGGGGGACATGGCTGAGCCCCAGAGAAGGGGAGTGGTGGGGGCCCAGATCCAACCTACTGTGCAGGGCTTGGATTTGGAAATTTGGCAGGGGGGAGCATGGCTGTATTAATTGCCACCACTCCCCCGCTACCAAATTTTTTGGCCCATGGGAAGCTGCCAGTGATCCCCTGGCTGGGTAGGGATTCCCCACTCAGTTGGGGGCTGGCAGGAGCTGTCCCACTTGTGGGGCAGCAGCCAGCAAGTTCCCCGATTCTCTGCCCAGCCACTGGCTGGCCAGCACCTGCCCCAAAAAGGGGACAGCTCAAGGCCAGCCCCCAGCTAAATAGGAAATCCCCACCCAGCTGGGGGCTCACTGGCAACTGCCCCACAAGTGGGACTGCTGCCAGTGAGCCCCCAGCTAGGTGGAGAAGCAAAGTGCTCCCCAGTCCTGGAGCTGCTAGGCTCCCAGCTTCTGTGGGGAGCCAGGAGCCATGCAGCACCAGGACGGGGGAGCAGAGAGAGACTCCATCCCACCACTGATCAGCTCCCAGCTCCTGGGGGTAGCCAGAGGCTGAGCAGTGCCAGGACTGTGGACAGAGCACTCCCACATCCCCTGTGGTCCTCTGCTGGTGTGGCTGACAGGGAGCAAATTTGCTCCCAGTCAGTGTCTACATGAGCAGTACTATGCAGCAACTAATGCGCAATTAATTACTACCTGTATTTACAGGTAATAGAAATCCATTCATTCGCTTAATTTACTGCACAGTAGCTGCTGCACATGGTTACATGGTGATGATTAATCTACTGTGCAGTAAAGCATCTCATGTAGATATGCCCCATGAAATGAATAAGTCTCAGCTATAGTAGACTACTGTTGAATATAACATGGCAGCTGCATCTGAGACTAGAAGAAAACTTCTGTCCATTGAAAGGCACAGGAAAGGACAGACAGTAGCAATCTACTATCTGATCTTCCTAATACATATTGGGGGAGAACATTTTTCTGTGAAAAATTCCATGAAAAATGAAAATAAGCAAAGTTTTCTTTGAGCTTTTCAATATTATATATATATTGAAAGTTGCATTTTCAAGTTTTAGCCCAAAGTTTTCACTTTTCAATAAAACTACATATTTTTTAAGAAAACAGGCTTTCCTCTCAATTTTGTTTTTAGTATAAAAGCAAACATTTCAAACCAACTCTATTTGTACAGCTGTACATAGGTGTAATCTAGTGCCATCTAGCTAATTCCCCTAGAAACTCACATCATCACTGCTAGAATATTTAGGAAGTACAATATCAAAACCCATTTAGCAACCACCAGAAGTTCCAGGATATACAGACAGCAGGTCACCGTACACCTATATGCACCTTACACTTTTATGGCTGGCATACATTTTCTGGGCTACAGCTGGTGAATTCTCTTTTGTTGTTGTTGAAAACATGCTGTACACTTGAAAGCCACTTTAGCAAAATATTTAGTATAAACAATGCCATTTTGTGCCTTAATGTAATTATATAATTACTGAAAGAAGCAAATAAGCCACAGCATAAGGTAAACCTTTTATAACCCTTGTCAGAAGTTAAAAGAGGATGTGGTTTAACAATCCAAGCCAGCAAAATACAGACAGCAGTTTGACAAGAAAACAAATGACCATTGGGAAAAATAATTGGTGGATATTTGTGAAAACAGCACATAGCATTAAGCAATGAAATGTATATATATGAAAGCATATGAGCAGAAATGGCTGACTGGATAAATGGTGAAACAAAATCATAATCACAGGAATTGCAACTTTAAGTCAAGAAACTGCATGGAACACAGGACTTGAACATTAAGCAACCACAAAACTGCCTAACACCCTAAGAAACAGTATAAAATGCAAACAGTGACATTACAAATTTGGAGAGAAGCTTGAACCCAAGACGACAGCAACTCTGTCAAATCCTGATGTGATGATGGACTCTTGGCCAGCTGAAATCACTGTAACGAATCACAAGGCTTATGTAAAAATATCTGCATTGACTGCCAGGGCTTGCTTAGCCATTAAGTGTTGCATTTAAAGCCTTGCTTAAACATTGGTGTTCAATAAATTAGGATTTGAGACTGGAATAGTCTCACTTGTCAATTCATTTCCATTTTCCCCACCCCTTAACTAAATTTAGTACACCCACCTGACTGGGGGTTTGTTTGTTTTTTTAATTAAAATTGATATTTTGCTGAAACTAAAATGTTCTTCAGGAACATTTAGACATGAAGAAGTATCATTTTGAAAATAAGATAATAAAATATGCATTTTATGAAGCTGAAATATAACATTTTTAATTTTAAAATGATTTTTCATTTTAATCTATTCATTGTAAATATATTTGAAAAGGCAAAAATCAAAACCAAACACTTTGTATTGAAAGTAGAAGGTTTTTAAGAATTTGAAACATTTTATATAAAAATTTGCAAATTATTTTTGTTTTCATTCCTACGGATATTCAAAAAAACCCCAATTTTGCAATGTTGGAAATTCTAAGTAATAGAATTCGGAGCTCTGACCACTGCCTCCTTACCTGCGTAATTAGTTATTTATCCCTGCCCCAAATTAGTGTACGGCAACATTATTGTGATTCAGTAGCATTTTACTCCATTTTGCAGAGGAGTGATAGACCCTGCAGTGTGCAAGACAAATGGGCATTTGGGCTCCCTCTGCTGAGCAAAATGACTAATCCCATCGGGCCCAATTCTGCTTGGATTTACACCAATATAATATTAGTAGTCATGTTAGAAGCCGAGGAGGAAGCCGGAAATGTAATCCATCTCAACATTAATAAGGTTTCACATGACAGTCTCATAAGCAAACTAAGGAAGTATAGCCTGGATATGATCATCATAATGTGGATGTACAAGTGACTGAAAAAAATCACTCTCAAAGAATTATCAATGACTTGGTGTCAACCAAGAGGGTATTTAAACTGGCATCTTGCAGGAGGCCCACTTCCATCCAAGTAGTTATGTAACTTGAATGATAGATTAGAGTATGCCTATAAAATCTGTGGATAACTGTGCAATTTAAGAACATGAGGGAGGACAGGATTAAAATCCAAAATGATCTTGAGCAACTGCAGGGACAGTCCAAAATCTACATGCTGAAATCCTATGAAGACAATTGTCAAGTGGGGTAAGCTGCCTTAATTTACCAGGGGTAGGGGTGGGCACATAAAACAGGTTGGCAGAACAATATACAGGAAGGCCTGTCCTCCTTTTAGCAAGGTATAATTTATTCATCTGCCCATACCCTTAGAAAAAAGAAATCACAACTACAAAATAGGAAATCACTTCTAAGGCTTCAATGTAGCAGAAAAGGAATGGGTCATAATATGAGTAAACATGATGCTGTTGCAAGAAAAACAAATCTCTTTCTTGGATGTATTAAAGAGAGTATGACATCTAGGACATGGGTGGTAATTATTCTGGTAAGGCATCACCTGGAATACCATGTCCAGTCTGGTGTATCACACTTCAATAACAGTATTATTCCAGAGAAGCAGACTGGCCCACTGATTAAGGCACTGAGCAGGGCATCAGGAGACCTGGGTTTGAATCCTATTTCTACTGCTAATTATGACTTTGGACAAAAAGCTGATCAGCATTCCCCACCTGTGCTTCAGCTTCCCCATCAATAAACAGGAAACCATTACTCTGGGAGCTGACTATTACCTCCGCTCAGCTTCCTAACTGCTCCAGTTCAGAGGCACAGAGGATTCCTTCACCCGCATTGGCCATGAAGGACACACCTACAATGAAAATGTCTTGCAATCTGCCCATATAAAGTATCTGGGAGACCTTCATCGCCAAACAATGACAAATGGTGCAAAAGGATCCACATGGACTTGTCAAGGTCAGGAGGGTGGGGGGACCATCTTCATGAAGAAAAAACACAATAATAAACCCTTCATATTTCCTACTGAGGAGTGAGATCT